GGCCGGCAGCCACCAGCTGGGGGGGGCGCACCATGGGGCAGAGGTACAGGCAGGGCGCCTGCGGGCGGCTCCTGGGTGGGGGTCTCGGTGGAGGTGGGGGTCTCGGCAGACGTGCCGGTGCCGATGGAGGTGCTGGTGCCGATAGAGGAGCCGTCCGAGGTTGAGCTGAAGGGCCCTGTGTCCCAGTCCGGGGAAGAGAGCTCACCGCTGCTGTCTGCCACCACCACAGCAAGGGTCTCGGTAGAGCCATCAGAGGGGCTGCAGGGACAGGGGGGTGAGGAGGAGGCTGCACCAGGCTGAGGGGTACATGGGCCCCCCACCTCCTGCTTCCTACCACTGTTGTGAATCTGGGCTAGTGCTGCCATGGCGCTGAACAGTGGGTGAGCTCGCAGCTGAGGCGCCGCTCTCGCCATCCTCCTCCTCCTCCTCACGCTCCTCCTCCAGGGGCCGGCGCTGCCGCAGGTGCTGAAGCAGGTTCTGCGGAGGGAGGGAGAGGCATCAGAGAGGCACGGGGCACCTGCGGGACCTCCGTCCGCCCCCCCAGCCCCTCACTTGGGCGTTGCGCACAGCGTCAACCCAGCTGCGGCACAGCGACTGCCCGCTGGCCTGGAAGGTGTACGCAGCCACAGCACTCCCCAGCTCGTTCAGGTAGATGAGGAGGAAGGAGCCTGCAGGCAAGGGCCATGAGCAGTGCCCAGAGACCCCCCACGGTCCCTATCACCCCTGGAGTCACTCACCCGGGTCCCTGAGCTCTCGGCACACAACCTTGTCTATCAGCAAGGGCTGCCGGACTACCTTGGTGCGCTCAGTCTTCTTGAGGGGCTTGGTGATGAGGAAGAGGTCAGTAAAGAGGAAGCAGTAGACATCCATCTAGGGGTGAGACCAGGGCCATGGACACCAGCAAGCACAGCAGGCGGGCAGGGGCTGGGGTACCCCGTCCCCCACAGTCCTCACCTTGCTGTCTTTACCTTCCCGCATCCGCAGGTTGCCCTCGAGGAGAAGCTGCCGGGTGTCCTCCGTGGAGGTGCCAGGGATGGGGGCCATCAGGTCCAGCCGAAGGAACTCCTTCAGCAGCTGCCAGGAGGCCCCAGCATCAGTGGCACAGGGTGGCACGGGGTGGTATGGGGTAGCATGGCATGGCGTGAGGTGGCATTGAGAGACATGACATGGGATGGCAAGACATGGGGTGGCTTGGCAGCTCTGCCATGCCCAGCCTACCTTGTCTACCTCATCAGAGCTGCCCTCTACCACCTCGTAGGCATCGATGTGGCTGAGGATGGCAGCCAGGCGCTGCTGCTCCTGCCGCTGGCGCATCCGCGAGTTGACGTGGTTGATGAAGCGCTCCACAGAGCTAATCTGCAGCCAGGACAGTGGGTGGAAGGGGCCAGAGGGGAGCACCTGCCCCACTGCACTGCACCCCCAGCTTCTTACCATGGTGGCGATAGCATCGTGGGCACACGGATCATCTGTCTTCTTCAGCACAGACTTGAGGAGCAGCGGGTACTTGGTGAGGCGCTGGTGGGGCTTCACCAGCATGTCACTCAGCTTCAGGCGGCTGCACTGGTCGTGCTTCTCAGCCCACTGCAGAACACAGGCATCAGCCCCGGCCCTGGCCCCTGCCTCAGCCCCCACCTGCTCCCCTTACCGTCACGTAGGCACGGAAGAGCTCGCTGTCCCGCAGCAGCGCACGCATGTACTCCATGCAGCCCTCCTCCTCCATGCAGTACCGCATGTAGGGTTCAAAGAGGGAGCCGAACTGGGGGGCACAGGGTGGGGTCACAATGTGGCATGGCGTAGCACAGCCCTCTGCTGCGGCATGGCATCCCCACTCACCATCTTGAAACCATTGAGAAAGTCGATGGGGTTGAGCAGTGCCCCAGTCTGGCGTGCCTTGGCCAGCACCGGGGCCATGACACTGCGCCACAACTGGCAGTGCAGCCGGATGATCTCCCCAATGTTGCTGAAGAGCCTCTCAGCATCCACCTGCAGGGTGGGGGAGGCAGCTGCATGGG